TATACAGCGGGTTTCTGGAGGATCAGGCTTGGTATGATTCAACACATGGGTGAAGTCTGAGATGGGACGAGGTATATCTGTACTTTACGATAGTTAACCTGATCCGGCCCGGTCCCACATGTGCTTAAGCTCCAGTAGGAGTGCGATAGGTGACATGTAGCTAGCACGTAAATAAACAGAGCAGCTCACAGCTAGTGCACACATGCTTCAGATTTCATTTGAAAGTACTACTGCGAAGTTGTGGCAGCTGTTTCTTCACCCCAAGTCAGCCCTCATCCGTGAATACCCACTCAGGGGAACATCTCAAAAACCCTGAGTTATCCAGACATGCCTCCGTCATCCATCAACTTTTCTCCTTCCCAAGTGGAGTAGGTGTCCAAGCTACTCAAATCATACCAGATAGCACCGCCAGGAGCCAGACCATCGCACCATCCAACGTTGACTTGTCTTTATAGTGTCAGCTGCACTTTCGCAATTGAGTGGCACGCATGAAGTTGAATTTCTAAAACTCCTTGCCGAAATTCAAAATTTGACACCCGCCAAGATAGTCTCTATCCTCTGCATCGTCTTGTAAACTTGTCCTGATCTCTCTCCCGTCTATACCAAAGAACTGTACCCCAGATTTATGCACCATGCTTTGCTTCACCCGTCGCGTGAAAATATCGTCATGGGTATATACTTAGTGGCCAGAGAAGGTCGAAGGGAGAAGTGGTCATGGAGATTAGGATGTCCCAAGTTGTACTTGCAGACTTGATGAGGCTTCGGTAGGGATCAATGTCGCCGGGAGTGACAATTTCACATGGTGGAGTATCTTGAATCATTGCCTCGTGGGCCAACGTTTTTGGTATTGCGAAATTTGACTGAACTTGATTTTGAGAGAACATTTCACTCCCAGTCTTGTAGAGGACACGGCGTACAGGTGTTCAATCCTCCGACTCCTTGACAGTGCCAGTCCATAAAATTTTCTCCGACTGCAAGTGTTGGTGGGTTGGATGGCGCAGTGGTGCACCGTGCGGGTCACCCTCCCAGCTAGATCTTGGGTAGCTTAGACACCTACCTCAATTCAAATAGAAGGTAACTGATTTGAATCCAGGAAGTAACCCACGGCACACTCTCTCGCAAAGGTATTATGTCCACAGCATGATGAAAATCACGTACAGATAACCACAGGGTTTTCCCGCTTTTCCCTGTGGTCAACATGCACGGAAGAGGTTGTAGGCCGTAAGGGTTGATCTCGAGTGGTAACTGCCGATGAAATCTGAGTGTGGGTGTTCCAGACGTCAAAATGTGTCATCCTGCTTAAAGTACATTTCTTCCGATAAAACCCGCATGGGCCTCGAGACGCTTAAGCAGGACAATCAAATAATTTATTTGTTATGTGTTGGCATCGTCGGCCTCAACCTTCAGACCGTTGAGTCATCTTTTCTGTACATTTTCGGGGGACTATTCTCAACACCTGTCAGTGGTGTCCCCTACGAACCTCCAGCTCTCACTGTAGAGTCTGCAGAGCCGAGATTGAGTAACAAAGTCCTCACTTCGAAGAGGATTCCCAATCGCTTTCGCGGTCTGTATCTTCTTCATCTCTCAACACATTCCCCTATCACCATTATCATGAAGCTAACCACGATCAGATCAGATGGTAGGGTCGGAGCCCTACTCGTCACCCACCCTTGAACATGGAGGAAAAGCCATCCGTGAGTTTTCGGAGCCTACCCAGCACCCGACACGAAAATGATGGAGTGGATCAAGATGGCCTCGAATGTTGCAAAGAATGGAGATATAGATGAATTTGCGCACCTCAGGTGGTCCCGGTGTCTAGGCATCACCTGGCTGGAGCTGCAGGTTTTTTGAGAATTTTTCTGGTGCACGCAGTTTCCATTGCTACCATTTTTATTTTTTATGGGTAGAAGGTTCCGTGGAAAAGGTGGCTGAATTCCACGGGTAAATACTGAGCTGAATGGCTATTCATCAAGGGGAATATATCAATGATCTTTCAAGTAACAAAAGAGGATAGGAGCACTGTACAAGGTGTGGCCTGGGTCAGAGAGGAGCCCAATGTGCTAGATAGTCATAGACTCAAGTAGTACAATAAAACACACACACTCTCTGTACATTTTCTCCTATATCGTGAGGATCCAGGTCGGACAGGCCTCTAGATAAGTACGAGGCTCTCATAGAGCGCAGGCGACACTTTAAAAACTGCCATGGTTGGATGGTACGGTGGTACATCGTCTTGGCCGGTCTGCCAAGTAGAGTCTGGATAGCTTCGACACATATCCCACTCGAGACAGTAGATCGCTGGTTCAAATCCGGCAAAACACAACCACTTATCTCGCGGCGTTTGTATGCATGGATGACGAAGGCATGCTTGGATATTCAAAGGTTTTGAAACGTCCCTTTGGTGGGTACTAACGGAGGGGGGTCAACTGTTTGTGTAAGCGAACATACCTCAGAGTGGTATTTGCGAATGAAATCCAGAGTATGAGTGTCTCTAATGTCAAAAGATTCATCCAACATGTATACATAGCACCGGCCATGTGTCATAGCTAGATAGCTGAATACACATTAAATGATTAAAAAAAAAAGAGGCTCTGATAAATTGTAATGCTTATGTAATGTTGTTCACGTTGGAATCTGGGCGCAGGATAAGGAATACTGTAGTTAAACAGACGATACCCTGTATTAATAGAAAATCAAGTTACATCCAGTCTCAAGCTCTACTACACATATTGGTAGTTTGGAGCCACGAGACACCCGCAACCTACGCCATCACAAAGCTAGGCTTATCTCTCTCCCTCACAAATTAATCCATCAGGCACCTCAATTGTGCCATTGCTAGATAGCTGCCTACGCAATTAAAATCTGATGCATAAAACAAAGAACCTTCAGACCCACCCACTCCTCCGCGGTCACGGGACATTGCATAACGATGACATTATTGGCTTCCGTGCAATGAGCAAACCTCCCCTTACTGCACGCACAACGCACTGTTCGGACTGTGCAGATAGACTAGTCGAGTAGTGGTGCACACAGAGCTCAGGGATGGTGGTAAGCCTGCCGAATCGGCGCAACAAAAGCCCTACTGAAATATCTTCACAGATGGTAAAATAGGAAGGACTAGAATGAGCCAAAGTGAGACGCCTTCCCTTATCCATAACCACCTGAGCAGGGCCCGGAGCAGCGTGGCCATGCAGATGAGAAGCGAACATATGGGATTCAATTCCTACCTGCGCAGAAGAAAAGTTCCAGGAGTAGATAACCCACGATGCCAATATGGATGTCCGTTCCAGAATGCGAAGCACGGGGTCATGGCCTGCACCAGGTGGGCCAGAGAGAGAGGAGTAGGGGAAAGATGATCTCCTGCCAGCAGCAAGAAAGTCGACGGTATCTGCACTGAACATAACAGTGTTAGTGCACTTCTTGAAGGTGACACAACGTTAGAGTGTTAACAAATCGAAAAGTTGAAGGGTTTTTCACCACAAAGCTTTCCTCCCCTGTAAACAATAGAGTTCGTAGACACCTGCATGGGCCCATAGGGCGCCAATTCGGACTAAATCAAATCAAGTTCAATAGCCCTACTGATCTCTGCGGGCTATCTTATTGTTGTTTGTTGCGCTACCCGAGTCTTAGCCTGTCCAACACATTGGGCTCCTCTCTAACCCAGGCTACACTTTACACAGTGCTCCAATCCTTTTCTGCTACTTGACAGATCATCGATATATTGCCCATGACGAATAGCTGAAGTATCAGTCACGAAGCCTTAGTATCCGTGTGACTTGATTAATATGCAGATCTAGACTAGAACCTATAGAATGTACAATAAATGAAGAACCTGGCAGATAATATTACAAGCATACCAAAAGGCTGTAGGCATTTACTAGCAGTACAGTTTTGTGACCATATATATCTTCAACAATAGCCATTCAGCTCAGTACATACCTGTGGAATTTCAGCCATCTTTTCCACGGAACCTTCTAGCCAAAAAAATGGTAGCATTGGGAACTACTTGCGCCGGGCAAAGTCTCAAAAAACCTGCAGCCCCAGCCAGGCGAGGCCTAGACACCGAGACCACTTGAGGTGCGCATTTTCGTCCAAATCCCCTTTCTTTGTAACATTCGAGGCCATCTTGATTCAATCCATCATCTCCGTATCGGGTGCTTGGTACGCTCCGGAAACTCATCGGATGGCTTTTCCTCCATGTTCAAGGGTGGGTGATGAGTAGGAATTCGATCCTGATCTCTGATCTGATCGTGGTTAGCCTCATGATAATGGTGATAGGGGATGTGTTGAGAGATGAAGACAATACAGACCGTGAAAGCGTTTGAAAATCCTCATCGAAGTGAGGGCTTAGTTACACAATCTCGGCTCTGCGGGCTCTACAGTGAGAGCTGAGGGCTAGCAGGGGACACCACTGACAGGTATTGAGAAAAGTCTTCTCGGAGGATAGGTATCTAGCGTTTCAGCGTGCCTCGCCTTCACTGTAACCCCAACCCATCTCCCTGGAGGTGGCAGTGAAATGTGCCATACATCATGTGCATGGTAGTATATGACATGACTCAATCAGATGCATTTTTCTGCTGATGAATGAGTAGCAACCACCCTCTGTTGCTTCTATATAAAATCACTGGGTCAAGGATAAATTGCATATTTCTGAATGGCTAAGTCTTCCAGATTGATATTCTTCCCCTCGGCACTTGATGCTTGTTATTGTAGGAGCCTATCAGGCACATATTTATCGTTAATCTACCGTGAGCTAACTTGCTCGAAATTAACCATTATCTTGTCGACGCGGTTTACCCGTCTCTGTATTTGCGCCCCCCAGCGCCATCACCAGCCCTCTCATCTACACAAGGCGCCGACTTATCTCGTAGCCTGTTTTAGCTAGATTTTTATCCCTCTCCCATCTTCTGAGATGGTTTTTTGATATCTCGTCTCCCAATTATCTAGGCGGCTACTATGCCAAGAGCGTCTCAAGCTTTCCCTACATGAAAATTTGCTGTTCATTTTCCTATCTGTCGGGTTATCACCGTGGTCTTAGTTATACCGGAAGATGAATCTCTGTGAACAACCCAATTTCCATCTTCCAGATCACCTAGTCCTAGACTGGTGGTGCTTTGAACAGCGTCAAAGGTGTGCCTTTGAAATTCGTCTTCATTCTTGGTAGAGCCGCGCCAAGAAGATTTCCATATTGGGCTCACGAGGCCCACACTACTTTCTCGCCATTCGCTCCATGCAGATTTTCTGGAACAATAGGAATCCAGTGTGTTTTCCGCATAGACCGTAGTCTTAACACCGGGCGAGACTGCGAGCCCGAGCATAATAGCAAACTCGTTAGGGTAGCTGTCGCCTGGAGCTGTTGCATATCCTTCTCTTACACTGATGCTGAGTCTGGGCAGGCGACTTTTAGGTGAAAATAATCCCTGAAATAACGGTCGCATTGTCGCCAACGCAGCTGCTGTCAATGAAACAGATGGTTCAATTATAGACCACTTGATAAGATTTATGCTCTCCCATGTATAGCCAGAACTTCCCCCTAGAAGACTCAAATATATTATACGAATTATAGTTGCAATGGAAGCACTGCGTTCTTTAGCTCTTCACTCAAGAGAAGGCTAGAAGGGGAATACTCACAAAAAACCCAAGGAAAGAATAAGCACCACCGATAGTTTGATCCTCGGACTTAGATTAAGCTTCCTGATGAAGAGAAATGGCAAGATTCCAAAGATCCAGTCAGTGGCACAATTCATAGCTGCGTGAGCATAGGTCAAATTGACGACATGTTTTCTTGTCTGACATGTTCCTAGTGGAGGAATGGTCTCATGCTGACGCCAAAAGTAGTTTACTGGCTGACATTGAAAAATAGTAAATGAAATATAAATTATTGAGAGAATGAATACTATAGCTATAGTGAAATTTATTACATGTTTTTGATAATTTCTGGTTGTGAGTCGAAGAAAAAAGAATCCGATGCTTAGTTTGGTAAGGGCAATTGTAATTATGTAGAGAATCTCACAAGTGAATGTGTAACATGAAAGTTTTACTAAATAATGCGGAGTAATGTCGACCCGGTGGGTATCGAGGCCAAGATGGGTGCCGGTTTTAATTAAAATAACACAGAGAGTCGTAAGAACAAACTAGAGAGATCAGCCTAAAGTTCGATGGGTAATATAGTAGCAGATAACTAACCAAAGATATTACAGCGAGATAGTCATCCGTGCCAAACAGTTTTTGTATCTTTAACCTGGTGTAGACCCTTAGAGAAATAGCGATCCACGGAATGATTAGAGCAGTATATGTCACTCCTGAGAGTTGTGAATCTCTGTTTATTTCCAGAATATCGCTTTCTCTGACGAGAAGGCTTTGCATAGCTAAGGTGAACTCGACGGAATAATGGTGATGAAATGAGCGATTTCGGCGGGCGCCTGGGTAGTTCTAACACATCGAGGGAGGCGTAAACGTTTGATGAAAGATGTAAAAGAGTGGCGGTAGAGACAGACTTGGTTCTTCGAAAGTCGAGTTTCAAAGATCCATAATTGTTTGAGCTGAAAAAATGTTGCCGCAACGCAGATTTAGTATGGTTCTAGGAGTTACAGCGTCTCGTCCCGGAAGTCTAGCTATCAAATGAGCGACCAGTCCAGTTAGATTCCGATTATCCAGATGAATTTTTCTTGAAGCCGAGCGGGACGCTGATCGTGTTTTGACTGGAATCTGGAAGATCCGCCGTTGGCGCCCATGTACGTGTGAGAATTACCGAACACGTAGAGGTATTGCATTGATGTAAACGTATTATTTTTGGAGCTTTCAAGCCCAGCTCAGCGCTTTTGGTGAGGAATATCCTACCCCAGAGTCTACAGGTCGCGGGAAGGACACAATTTCGACGCTATAAGTCGCTCGCATAGATTTCATCAAAGCTCGTGCGGGGAATGACCTGTGCATTCGCTCTCCTCTTTGAAACAATTTCCCTTAATTCTTCATTACCTCATATGAAATTCTACATTTCATTATTGATCGGACCAGAGTCTTCATCTTTCTGCCCTAAATTGGTATCTGGCCAAAATTACGTTGAAGTCGACTATGCCTCACTCGGAAATCCGGATTTCGAATCGTGGGAACCTTATTAGCCGTAATGAGCGTCGAATGAGGTTATGCCTAAATTTTACGCCAGAGTGCAATTCATATCAAGGCGGTTACTGATTCTGCGACGGGAGGTTCGTGCGATTTTTGGCTGCGTTGATGTGAGTGTCTTTGCGCAGCAGGCAGTGCGCTGGACCAACTGCGAACAAGGGCATGGATTTCGATGCGCGGGACAAGCGAGCGGACTACGGACAGTGACGGGTCGTCTTCAGATAATCTCTATTGATGAATAGCATGTACCAATCAGCCCTGAACAACGATGTTGTAGTATCAGAGCCCCTCACTTTTGCTCGAATCTTCAATGAACTTTGAGGAGACTGAAATCCTCAAGTTGTCGAGCAAATAGTTGGAAGAAGTTAATTCTGGGACCCTAAGGCAATTACTTATGCTACACTAGTATTATGGCTTTGTGTAGGGAAACTTTATTTGCATCATTTCCAAAGAATTTAACAATTCGATTAATTATTCTTTCTCATGGTCTTGTTTCTCGGTTATCTCCCTCCAACAGCTCTCAATTTGCCACCGTGAACCGCAGCAGGTTGAAGAAGATCCCTGCCTCACGACCTTCCTCGCAACTGGAAACCCAGACGGTCGACTAGAAAATCAGGCGTCATAGAATTCTACAGACTTGGCGGACATGACAAAGATCTACTAACGAGTCAACCCTTGGCCCGGAAATAGATAAAGTGCGAGATATGGATCGACCCACCGAAGATGTATCAAATAAGCTATCTTTATTCCCAATCTACGAACCGTGCCATCTGTGAAGCATGAGGGTCGATGCGCAACATCTTAGCCGACAGAGTAGGTGAGCTACAACCGACCGCCATCCAAATATATATACGTCAACGTTAGAGTTGGCATCAGTGATAGCCTATCGAAACGCTTTGATAAACGTCTGTCTGTGGAGCGGCATTCTAGCTTAAGTAGCATAGCAAGAGCACTACAAAACACTTCTAATCTTTAGTAGCTGAGTTATTCACAGTCCAAACTTAGGCTAAATTTCATATATAGTCCTTCTTAAGAGTAAAAAATAGACACCTTGATAATCCTATGACAGCAATTACTCTCCTTGATAACACGTTCAAGATAGAAAAGCGTGGCACTAAATCTGCTGATCATAGCCAAAGAGCAGCGGCTTTCCTAGCTCAAAGTTAGATTAGAAGCTTGCTCACATGAGCGCCTGGTCTACTTTTTCACTTTCACTTATGCTTTAAAGATTTAGACTTCATTCGCAAGAACACTTGGTCAACATTTATCTCTTGGTACGGACCAACACAAACATAGCGTATAATAGTAACTCATGTTGATACTCATGATTGCGATGGATAGCAGTGATGAATGGTGTTCATGGCAGTGCGGGATGGGTGATGATGGGCAGGGTCAGGACACGTGTATATGTATATCGCGCAGTTGTATCCTGTCTAACATGATGATGCTCTCGACTACATTCACAATATCCATACTTACTCTTGGCTAATCAATTCTATTTATATTGGTCTCAACTCACAACTATTATCTGTTGGCCCTTTTATCTTTAATTACAGGCCATATTATTCTTCGTCTTGCTGGCAATCATCATGCTCAGAGTTATGAAAAGTTTAAATAATTGATAGACTTGTCCTTTCTGGTCCACTGGAACGAATCACTATTGTATAACACTGGAGCATTACGAGCTGAGTAGGGGCTGGTTAGCAATGCTGGGAAAGAGACAACTCATTCTTATATCACGTGATGTAAAATATTAGCCGACAACGCGTGGACGCGACCCTGGAGTAGACAAAGCCACGAGGAAATGCCTCGCAGCGCCAATTGACTTTATCGTTCTCCGAATCAAGCATAGCTGATTTCTTCTTTTGACTGTTGATTGCACAATCAGAGATGTGCCGTCATTGAAAGAATATCGGCAAAGACCACGCGACATCACTCTATCGGATCATCGAGCACGAATCAGGCAGGAGTGCCTATCATTACCAAATGTAACAAATATAACTATGCAGAGCATGAGTAAAGCAGAGAGTCCTCAGCATAATGCTAAAGTCGACGAGGTACTTACCGGTGGTCGAAGCACTGCTGACAGAGCTATCATCTGCAACGGTAATAGAGTTGCGTGTCTTTCACCTTTTCACGTTCAAGATTCTCAAACGCTCCGGTGCGAGAGATGTGGATTCGCGTCAATCTGTAGACTATAGCAGGCAAGCGCGATGGCCTTCATGTCGTAAGAAACGCCTGTGCTCTACGCTATTAAAAGGCTTAGGGGCGCATCCCCTCGGACAAGGGATCTCGTTTTCAGATGTCCAGGGCTATCAATCGATCCGGTCTTCCCGCTCAATGCCATAGGGCCTGGACACCTGCCTCCCAAGAAATGGGGTATGACTGATTCTAATGCACAACAGTCCGAGCATTAGTGTGTGATTCATAAGTGGAATGTTTGGACGGAAAAAGCTTTCGCCCCTTGAGCGGGTTCACAGGGCCGCTGGAGGGATGCAATTACCCTGCAATCCAAAATAGAATAATTATATCAACTAATGGGGCCCTATGGATATAATGATCATCGATGTTTAAATCTTTCCCTGCATCAAACGGGCGATGCTGGGGCCAGACCATGTCCTGTCAAATGAAGACTAGAAGATGGGAGATCTTGGGACTCCTACGGATTATTGCCTCTAAAAAGTATTGGGCAATCAATGATATTCTTTGCAAAATACTACGCTAGTACGATTAAAGCAGCAAACCAAGTGCAAGCAAACGATGAGGTCTTCATCACAAGTATCTCTTGCTGTAGCAAAGATGACTTTGTGTTATGCAACGTGGCATTTCGTACCACGACTGATCGTCTAATCTATTAGCTTACGTATCTAGAATTTCACATATTCCGAAAGCGATGCGTATAAATCATGACCTCTTGAATCGTAAATTCCAGAGCCATGACTCTAGCAAAACTAAGCACTTGCGCAGAAAGCTTGACTATCTATAGTCAAAAAAAAGTGCCTGATCTTAGTATTTCCGAATTTAATCCAGAGTATGAGCTTGTGTAATCAAAATTGTCATCCTAGATTTACACATAACACTGGCAATATCTCATAAAATCGCTTTGGAATAGGGGAAAGGTCGGATGGTCGGGGCGCGTGAACCTTGGATGGGACCCTCCACTTTGGATGACGCATGGGGTAGGTTGTAAGTAAATAAGCCTTTGCGGCCATGACTTGGGTGAAAAGTTGTAGTTTGCCATCTTCAAAATCATTGCCTGCAACATCGATTCTACCTGATGGTTGATTTGTTTCCTAAATGATTGAGGCGGAGCCATTCCTGCAGTTCTAGATGCCATACTCATTCCAGGCGCAAAGCCCGTTATTCTGGGGTCAACACAATCCAGCCAAAATCCATGGCCAAGCACAAAGTGAGCTGCAGTGATTCTACTACCGCTGTGCTTGACTTCATTAGACATGTCGACACGATGCGTTCATGTTGGCATTAATATGATGGACATGCCGATCTTTTGACGTCTTTAACTGTCATGATTTATTTTGTGGGACCGCACTCAACCTTCGGGATCTGCAATAGTGTGTTCTAGACGAGGATCATAGAATCGATGGACTCTGTTAAACCTGTCAGTAGGCCATGTTATTTATCCTAGTTGCAACCGTGAGGCCAGTAGAAATTCTAGCACAAGAATACGCACAGTCCTCGAGTCTCGCAAGGGGCTTGGCGCCATCACTGAAGAGGCCAACTAAGATCATAAAAGGTAGCAGGGGGATGCCTTATCTGCCCTAAGCCAGCAAACTTTCTCAACAATTATCAATTTAGTCCCGCTCTGTAGACACTAGCCATCACTAGGTCTGGCCTCAGCTTGATTCCTACAACGATAGGCCGGCGGAGGATAAAGACAGAACACCGATACGCGGTGCCCTCTTCAAATGCTAAGGTAAAAATTTCTCTCAAAGCCAAATTAATTCATTGTTCGCGTAGATAATAGTCAGCGGATGATGGAGACGTGTTTGGACATCTTAGGTGGCCTGAAACTTTTCTCTGGCTGAGTATTCATGGATGAGGGTTGACTTGGGGTAAATAGAAAGCCACCATAACTTCGCAGTGGTATTTGCAAATGAAATCCGAGGCTTGAGTGCTCTGTTCGTATGGTGAGTCGTGTTTTGTATAATTTTCTCCGAGATTATATCGTGCTAGATTGATGAATACGCAATTAAAATCTGATCCAAAAACAGATTGCTTTACGTCGTACATTACTTTCCTTCTGAGATAGTAAGAGGAGTTCTTCAGGCCCATGCAGGAATCGAACCAGCATCTCCGGAATTTTACATGCGTCAGAATCCGACGTGCTAACCATTACACCAATCGGCCGATGGTCTCTTCAGCTAATTGTGAACTAAATTAATATTGCACCTTTTGTAAACTGAGTCCGCTGTAAAAGTCCAAAAAACCTTGCAGTCCCAGTCGTACAAGACCCGTACACCGGGACCACATGAAAAGCGCATTTTCGTCCGCATTCCCTTTCTTTGTAACAATCGAGGCCATCTTGATTCAATCCATCATCTCCGAATTGGGTGCTTGGTACGCTCCGGAAACTCATCGGATTGCTTTCCTTCCATGATCAAGAGTGGATGATAAGTAGGACTTCGACCCTGCCATCTGATCTGATTGTGGTTAGCCTCATGATCATGGTGATAGGGGAATGTGTTGAGAGATGAAGACGATACAGACAGCGAATGCGATTGGAAATCCTCATCGAAGCGAGGACTATGTCACTCAATCTCAGCTCTGCAGACTCTGCGGCCAGAGCTGGAGGTTCGTAGAAAATATCATTAACAGGTGTATAAAATAGTCCCCCTCTTCACGGATGAGGGCTATCCTGAGGTAAACAAAAAGCTTCGACAATATCATACTGATACCCGCCGGCAAAGACGAATTCTTCACATTCCAGTGGTGCCGGTGTAATCGCTCGGTATGCTCTGCATATCTGGGATAGCCAACAAGAATCGCATCCAAATCGAAGTCGAAAGCACTCACAAGCACATCTAAAATCGACGACTTCTCGTCAATGTTTGACCTATCATTCTCACGCAAGTCCTCCACCTCAATCCAAATACACCACCTTGCCTCAAATAGCGATAAAGGCGTTACTCCAATTGCAATGGAGCATTTGCCTCATCAAAAATCGGCCATCTCCCACTACACATTTACGATGCTATGTATACCCGCGAGGAGGAAGTCAAGTCATAATCTATAAAGCTCGGGTCTTGGTCTATGGGGGACCCTTGCTCTAATGGGGCTTCATATCTTGAGAAAGGATAGGCAGCTGGAACGTTGGACGAACGAGTGAAGAAGTTACAAATGGGCATGCTGGGTCGCACATTTTTCGAGTGTTTTCGACTTAAAGATGTCTGTGGGCGCAGAGACCACAATTCCGGATAGTGCAACCGACATTTTAAAAACAGGCAATGATGGAAGGTGTTTTGGTCCGCCTCCTGGACGTCATCTCCCCAAATTAAAGTCTGGGTAGCCTGGACACCTACCTCACTCGAGAAAGGGAGAACTATGAAGCCATATCTCGCGCGGCGGCTATATAAAATATGACAAAGGCATGCTAGGGTAGCAAATGGTTTTTCATGTTTTCCGTTTGGTGGATATTAACGGTTGAGGGAAGGGTGAGAGTCCCTAGCACCAAGGTCTCCAGTGGCATCAGCGAATGCACCCACTACATGAGTAGCTCAGATGTCAAACTGAGTTATCTTCGTATATAGTCGCCGGAGAAGCTAGTCTTCTCCGTGTCATGCTCTTTGAGTGCAGGGCTTGTGCTCGTCACGAATAAACCTTCATTCATTCATGCATACTGATACTCGTAGATGAAACCCGAGGCATAATTGTCCTCTATTTCAACTGAGTCATCTATCCTGTACTTTATCTTTTGTTTCATTGCTAAATAATTGTGTTAAAGCTTTTTCGTTTAGTGATAGATATGAGAGTGAGTTTTATGGGTCACGATGTATGAGATAACTGAGGTATGGATGTATGAGTTCCTTACTATTGTTGTTCTACTAGTTAGGATTGTATTGTCCATATACAAATGGGATTCCTCCATCTACAAGTGGGCCAGATCGCTTAGATCCGGCTAGCGGCTTTCGCCATCCTGTTCCTTATCCCCCGCATGGCGTCACGTACTATACAACTACTGCTCATCATGAAGTCCTAGGATGAAAAGCGTTAGATTACAACAAATTGCAAATATAATTCATATCTGTTCGCAGAAACAGAAGACCGGCTACATCTACTTGAGTGTGGTAGTAAAATCTTCAGATATCAATGAGGTTCCTGAACTCCAAGTCGGAGCGAATCCCCAAGTCTCACAGCAAGCGAGCCGCCGAGATATAAGGTTCCATCAAGAATGCACCCCTCGCATTCATTGGGCACCATCCGTCGGCTAAACGCTTCATTCCTCCCCTACTGTATTCTGGTAGTTTTTTTTGCATCAAATTTTAATTGCGTATGCAGCTATCTAGCTATGACAAGTTTTTAAAGAAAAGTACATGTTGGAAATATCGCACAATGTAATGGGCGCAACATTCATGGAACGAAAGTAGAAGTTGACTAAAAGAGTGTCATGTTCGGATTACAGCTAAAGGTGTGGGAAGTGTGCGCAACAAGTACAAGTGTAAGCGACACAGAGCCTAAGCCACAGCATAAACGAGTGTGGCGCCTTCTAGGCATAGAAAACCCCCAATAACCTCCTTGCGCCCACGCCATACAGCCGCTCATATGTCCAATAGGTAGCCTGAAGCGCTACCATATTACCTGTTCCAACCTCTTAAATACACACGAGATCGTGTCGGGAACCTAGACGAAATGGAGGGCCCATACGTCCACAACACTCCGTGTCTCCATTTCCAACAGTACATAAAAGATTACTCAAAGTAGAGGAAGAGCACTCAAGCCTCGGATTTCATTTGCAAGTACCACTGCGAAGTTATGAATGCTAAATAATACCTCAGTTCAGCCCTCATCCGTGAATATCCACTCAGGGGAACGTCTCAAAAGCCTTGAATTATCCAGACATGCCTCCCACCATCAGTTAACTTTTCTCCGCGCGAAAAATGGTCGTAAATGTCTCCTTCCCAAGTGGAGTAGATGCCCAGGTTACTCAAACTATACCGGAGAAGACCACCAGGAGGTAAACCACGGCACCTTCCATCGTCGGCTTGTTTTTATAGTGTCAGCTGCACTCTCGCAGGCGAAGTTTCGGCGCGCACAAAGCTCAATTTGTAAAAACTCTTTGCCAAAATTCTAAATTACACGTCCGTCGAGAATGTATCCATCCTTTGCATCATCTTGTAAACTTTTCCTAATCCCTCTCACGTCCGTCCCAAAGAACCTGCTCCCAAATGTGTGCGCCACGATATTTGTCCTCCTACGGGTATTCGTAATATCGCGGGCGGATATCAGTGACCATCTGAGGCCAGAGGTGGCCCAAGAGAGGTGAAGTAATTGAAATGAGGATGAACTAGGTCGTACTTGCAGAATTGATGAGACTCAGATAGAAGTCGATCCCGTTTGGAGTGAAAGTTTTATTTCGTAGAGAGTCTTGGATCGTTGCTTCGAGGGCCAACTTTGATATTGCCAAACTTGACTGAAATTGACCCTGAGAGAATATTTGAGTCCCAGGTTCGTAGAGAACACCGCGTACAGGTGTTCAATCTTGCCCTTCTATTTTGCAATCTTATACGCTCATCAAAGCACAAGTAGAATAACCGGTCCTATGCCCCTGGCGCGTTTAAGATAGATCGCTGGCGGCCGCTTCCACCATTTGTTGTACCCTATGGTCGGATGGTGCAGTGGTACTTCGACGCAGCTATGCTTACGAGCCGAGCTGGCCGGCTTAATAATCGTAAAGGCAACCAATATGGTGTTGAAGAAGACGATTTATCAACCTGAATAAGGAGAAAAGATATCTGTAGCCACTACTAACAGCTACTCGTAGCCTTTGGTCCACTTTGTGAATCTACTGACTGATAACTTTCCCCCAGGCCTAATACTTGGTGAGAAGCCGTGTACTATCAAGAGTCATCACTTCATGACTGTAACGGCTGGTGAGCCGATTGGTCCCTGTAGCGGATGTTGGTCAACATGAGCCTGGCCTAACATTGGTAGCGCACGATTGATTGACATCAATGCGCGGATACATGAAGCCACTCAACATAATATCAAGGCATTGGCATCTAGTTTGGCAGGGCAGCAATATTTGACCATACAGCTACAACACATTGAGGCGTTACAACAAGTAGGGCCTGTTACAGGCCGTAGCCTTGTATGTGGATCCGGAACTATCCGGCTCCGTCTATGAACAAAAGCGCGCTAGTGTCACGGGAAAACGCGCTCGATTGGAACAAAACATCTTGCGCGCGCGTTGTAAATATTCTCCTCCTTAGATAAAATATAAATTCATTTTTGGACCCATAATTGTGAACAACAAATGTGAAGTCCCTTCACAGGGCCCATAACTTCGCAGTGGTACTTGCAAATAAAATCTGAGGCATGAGTGCTCCTCTTGTAAATTGAGTCATCTTTTCTGTACTTTTCTTTGATATTGTGTCACAGCTAGATAGCTGCATACGCAATTAAAATCTGATTAAAAAAAAACAAGTAGGGCCAACACATGTGAGGAATCCCATTGGATCCGAGACGGACGGACTGTGCCTCAAACACATAGACAATGTAGATATATATATATGTATAGATAGAGTCTGAAGTAGTTCTCTCTTCAGAATGATAATTTACATACTATCGACCACATAGTTGCACCAGCGCCTGTTCCTTGACCCGTGACAATGACGCTGCTTCGACCTCCTGACCAGTAGTGCTATTCAATCCATCCGTCTATCCCTCTACTTTTATTCTTATTGTAATTATTCCTAGTAAAAGACATAGGCTACCTCAAAATCTCACATAATGATTAAACCGTAACGAGTTTTGTTGCGATCGTAAATACCAGACATCACATAGCGCGTCGCAAATATCAGATTAAAATTTACTTACTAACAGGATTGGGGGATGTAATGACATAATTAAGTCATCAAGCCTACTACAAGTTTACTCGTTTCTACTCGCAGACCTGAAATTCCGGCGTGATTTGAGCAGATTTACTGAGGGGAATTCGCAAATAATGGGAAGGAATTGAGTGGTTGGAGCCTTAGGGGTAATCTCCACATTCTTCTTCCCTTACCATGGAAGACCGGTCTAGCCCACGGCTAAATGCAAACAGGACAAACAGCACGCGGCAGGGATACTCTTTAGCGCGGAAATCGCGAGACTTCATCTATAAAGTCTCGCCGCCACCCACACCCATCTTTTCTCATTATCATCAATAGGTAAAATTGAATCATGTTCATTTTATTTATTTCGTGCTCTGCTACGGCAGCTTGCTGAGCGTGGCCTAATTAACCTAGTGTTGATGTATGGGCTGGGTTCCGTTCCCGGCACGATAGATTGAAGTTTGGGTCTTTTCTTATCAGTCTTCTGACAACTTTTCTATTGAGTTTGACTGTGGAGATCTAACAACATACCGTATTAGATAACAACTAACAATGAAATACATGAATTAGTTCAACAACATCATACCATTTTGAATTGTAAGAAATCACCACATCAAATAGTAGTACACAAATTCTAAATGCAAAAATATATTATAAACTAAAATCTTTGCATAACATAACTGTTGCTGAAATAATTTAGTGTTTTAGTTCACGAAAATTTTATTCATTTCGTCCAAGATGAGTAAGACATAATTAAATCTCAGTTCGAACAGCCAAAGATGATTATGCATCCGTGAACACAGATCTATGACACATCACATTATATGGGGAAAACTTTGGGTTCTCAAAAAATTAAACAAATAGTAAATAACACATGATTTTGTGAAAACCGCTGCAAAGCCTACAACTTTGCCACATTCACAATTCCATTTTTAGTTTACACCTCAATTTCTTTACAGACTTCTCCACAAAGATACACTTGTGTACAGTCTACCGACTGATAATGACTTTCGGAATATCGTTGTATCTTGAGACAAGTTATGCGAGCCGGCATCAAAATTACATTCTGCAAAGTGTGACTATCATCCACGAATTTTGATAGGAATCAGGTTTGGTGACATTTTGACGAGAAATCTCGACGCATAATTTAGGTTTAGATTTTGATCTATAATATTTATACTAAAACTAATATAAACGTTTTGGGGGCGACATTGAAGCCTTAATGGTCAAACTTCCGACATTTTGCCAGCCTTTTTTGAGGAGGGAAACGAGGTAGTTGATTGACAACATGATGTTACCAATGAGCTGATCCTCTGTCATTCCTACATTGCCTACAGCGACACCCATGCAAAGAACCTTTTTAAGTTGGAATTTGATGGTTGACTTGACTTCGTTAATCTTGCCGGCCAGATCTTCGTTGTGGGACACAGGAGTTGGGAATTTTCCAGCTATGTTGATTTAGCCTCATACGTATTGCTAGATATTTGAGATTTACCTTTAGATAGTCCGGGACCTAGGAGACGAGGGATTTGCTTGATGAGTGTGTCAGAGGCAACGAATGCATCATATTTCCGTGCAAGCTTCTTGATGAGCTTCTTATTCTTGTTGAGTTTTTTCAAGTCATCTGCAGACATGGCGTCAACGCCACCGTGCTTGGCACGATCAATGTCGTGTTGGTCACCAAGGATGCTGTTACAATGTCACTGATTGGTCTTGAGTGATGCCAGGTATTCACTTACCAAATTGACATTCCCGGGCGGGGCACGACGGGCAGCCGAATGGTTCCCGAGAAACGCTTATCACGCTGAGGGTCATAGTTCTTGAGGCCGATCTGTAGCTCGACAGTCTCGAGGAAGTTTCGCTTCTTTGTCTCGTGCGAGTACTCGAGGAGTTGTTGAACGTTGGTGCGCACTCCAGCTATGGGCGGGAGTCAGTAGGCGCTTCAAGAAAGCTTCATTGACAGCGATAGACTTACCGACTGTGATTTTGGACATTTTGACAGTCTTCCAGTAGATTTTAATTTCTAATGGTGAGGATTTGCGTGTTCGATTGTTGATGAGTGTCGCGAAAATTCGTCAATGTGCGACTCTTTAGAATCTCGCTTAAGCAGGCTGGAGATTTGCATGGATTTTTAGCATGCCCACATTGATATCCGAAGGAATACAAGACTGAACACCTGTACGCGGTGTCCTCTACGAACGTGGGAGTGAAACATTCTCTCAGAGCCAAGTTTAGTCAAATTTCGCATTATCAAAGAAGTTGGCCCACGAGGCAAAAATTCAAATTACTCCTCCACATCGTTTTTTCGCTCGCAACGAGTTTGACGCCTACCTAAGTCTCATCAAGACTACAAGTACGACCTAGTACATCCTTATCCCAATGACCACACCACTCCTCGATCTTCTCTGGCCTCAGTTGACCACCAAATACACGCCCACGCCGATATTTATACCCGACGGAGGAAGCAAAGCGTGGCGCACAAATTTGGGAGACAGCTCTTTGGGATGGACGTGAGAGGGATTAGGGCAAGTTGACAAGATGATGCAAAGGATGGATACATTCTCGACGGACGTGTAATTTAGAATTTTGGCAAAGAGTTTTTACAAATTGAGCTTTGTGCGCGCCGAAACTTCGCTTGCGAGAGTGCAGCTGACACTATAAAAACAAGCCGACGATGGAATGTGCCGTGGTTTACCTCCTGGCGGTGTTCTCCGGTATAGTTTGAGTAACCTGGGCACCTACTCCACTTGGGAAGGAGACATTTACGACCATTTTTCGCGCGGAGAAAAGTTAACTGATGGTGGGAGGCATGTCTGGATAATTCAAGGCTTTTGAGACGTTCCCCTGAGTGGATATTCACGGACGAGGGCTGAACTGAGGTATTATTTAGCATTCATAACTTCGCAGTGGTACTTGCAAATGAAATCTGAGGCATGAGTGCTCTTCCTTCACGTTGAATCATCTATTCTGTACTTTTCTTTGATATTGTGTCATAGCTAGATAGCTGCATACGCAATTAAAATCTGATGCAAAAAAAAAATTGATATCCGAATCAAAGAAATTCGGTGCGCAGACTGCACACAACACCACTGTCGATAGCCGTATTCTTGGTTGAAGAGTCAAGCCAGGGCTACCAACTGTGCGTCCCTCTCTCCTTTAGTTGTATCTCACGCAGCAGTTTCTTCAATGCAGAATAGAGTCTATATCTCGATGGGCCACGTCGATGCAATTCTTTTAATCATATAATATGTATTCAGCAATTTAGCTTTGACACGTGTTCGGTGCGAGGTAGACACATTGGATGACTATTTCGATACTAGAGACTCTCAAGCTCTGGATTTTATTCGCAAACATCACCACAAGATGTGCTTGCTTTCACAAACAGTTGATTCTCCTGCGTGAGTACCCACCAAAGGGAAGTTTCACAAAACTCAGGTCATTCAAGCATGCCTTCGTCATCCATGCATACCAGCGCCGCGAGAAATGTGGTTGTGTTTTGCCGGATTTGAACCAGCGATCTACTGTCTCGAGTGGGATATGTGTCGAAGCTATCCAGACTCTACTTAGCAGACCGGCCAAGAAGATGTACCACCGCACCATCCAACCATGGCGGTGTTCACAGTCTCGCCTACACCCTTGCCATATACGTCTTGGCGCGCACAACACCCAATGTGAATAACTCTTTACCAAAAGTCGAAATACCAGCCTTTTCAAGGTTTTGTCCTCCGTTTGCATCATCTTGCCTATCTTTCCTACTATCTCTCACGTCCATCCCGAACATCTGCCTCCCAGTTTTGTGCGCGACGGTTTCTTTGCCCGGACGGGCATCAATATCGTCGTCGGCGTAGATTAAGAGGACAGTCAAGGCCAGAAACTAATTGGAAGAGGGATGTGAACAGAAAAATCAAGATGCTCTGGGACGTATTTCTGGCTTGGTGAGGGTTTAGTGGGATACAATTTATCGGCAGTAAAGATTTGATTTCGTGTAGAGTATTTAATCATTGCGTCGGGGGCCAACTTCTATAGTTTTACGAAATTTGACTTAACTCGGTTTTGGGAGAATATTTCACTCCTAGGTCCTCAGAGGACATGACGTTCAGTTTTCCAGTCCCTGTCCTCCGAATTGATGCAATTATTTATTCAGGGGAAATTAAGGCCATGAATACTAGCACGAAGGCCAAGGCTTTAGATCGAGACTTCGAGTACAGTAGTTGTCGTTTAAAGGGCAAATTGTCAGGGCTAAATAGAAATTGAAGTTTACGGAGTACAACTGTGAGATTAGTTGCGCGTGTCTTATGAATCATTGGATATTCCATGAGTTTTTATATCTAACCGAAGCGCGATGGGATCTTTGCGCAACAACCACATGTAGCCTGCGGCTGCTATGCTCATAAACTTAAACCCAGACTTATCGTATTCTACACCTATATGTTGCGTGCCCTTGGGCCTGGAATATGTACAATGCTCACCTCTTTACTTTGGTATTTCAATGAAGTAGCAGTTCTGCCCGGCCCATACAAGACTATCAGAGAATCTGCAAACACACAGATTCACTTTGATAACTTAATGAGCTGGAAGCCCTGCTATCTTGGCCAATCGCAGCTCTGCTCTTTGGCGATATTTCACTCGCAAGTCCCGCCTAATAGTGGGTTATTCGCAACAATAATGAATTGGCTCAAGGTTGGTCGAAAAATAAATGCCTGGTATCAGGCGCCCAATTGTAATTCACTCGGAACAAACATGATGCTGAGTTTTCGTGGCTTAATAGAGATATCATGGCATGATAATGTCTTTTACTAGTCAGATATCTAAGATTTTGATCTTCTGCCAAAATCTCTTCACCTACCGATATACTGTGACTTATTACGAGTAAAATTATTTCACGAGATAGCGGCTTAAGTCAGTCTAAAATATAGCTCCAAGTTCTACTCATTTTTGCCCACTACACAAGGTACTATAAGCAAGATGCCGACGAAGAAACGAAGCATGAGCAGGTTTCAGACTCGCATCATTTTTTTGGTACTTGGGGTCTCCTTTTCCCCCAGAGTATGGAACAGACGCGGAAGCATAGGATACAAGCTCTGTAGAACAGTCGCTTGTGATGTAAACTCTGTACGGCCCTGTGGAAGGATATGAATATTGTTGATTTCTAAAGCATAGTAGATCAACAGCGACTATGATTTTTCTGCGACAAAAGTCAATCATGGTTATAAAAAAAAAAGAACATCTAGCGCCACCACTGATACAACGGAAGCAAAGAATAAGGAGATGACAAGGAATCCTCAAGATCAGCCACTCGAAGGCGGGACTTGTTCATCTAATAACGGGATAGCCGTGGATAACTACATCCAGACGAGTGCGGGGATAGCTTCTGGAAATAATCTAGACGCTGAAAACCAAACAACAAACTCAACTGATGGTGAACAAAATTTACAATCAAGCGACGGCAACAAAGAAACTTCTGCAAAGAATGAATTAAATAACGAGAGCAACAAGTGCGAAGAAATTGAGTATAATGACGTTGGTAGTAAAAATGGCAGTAAATCCGATGAAGACGACGATCAGTGCCAGCATCAATTGCGAAATTTCGAGCAGGATACCGGATATATGGATTCGTATGATCTGTCTCGTGGCACTTCCAATGCTGTCAACCATCTTGACTGCTCAAGTAACAATGTTGATCAAATGAAATTGTTGGACAATTGTAAAGGAAATTTGCAGTTAGATAAAATATCTTCTCCCCTCAAGAATAAAGAAAATCTTAACTCTAGTTCTCCATTTTCATTACGGCTGGACGAAAATTGGTCTCAGAAAGACAGTGAGCTACTGGAGAATATTGTGTTAAGATATGAGCTGCACAAATGGAAATATATTCAAGCAGCCTTCTATAATTATACAGGTCGGATGATCGATGCCGAGATTATACAAAGTTATTACAATGACATTTCCAATTAACTTTGAGCCAACTGGGCATCAAAAAGGTTGTTGCCTTTGATTTTAGTAATAACCAAATTTCTGATGAAAAACCAGGAATCTCTTATAGTATAGCTTCTTTTACTTGAATCTGAATATATGATTGAATCGCTTAGATGAGTTAATGCCAAGATATAGAGGAATAGTTTCAAAATTCTTACGAAACTGTGTCATCAGCTTTTAAATTTTTACTTAGTTGTGAAGCGTTACAAATAATTGTTTATGACAATTAATAATTGCAATTTTTGGCGCCATCGTTTAGATGTTTATCATGTCTCATCATATTTGTTAAAACTTCTACTAGCATTGCAGCATCACTTGAAATTTCGTCATTTTGGGGGCCTTGTTTGTTGTGAGTCTCTGCAACTGTTGCTGATGCTATTTGATGAGAACCTTCCTTATCATGTAGACATTCGCTTACGTAGGTCGCATATCCGACTTTGATGGATATACGAAGCGGGTGATTTGCCCTAAGTGTGCTATCAGCTAGGCTTGCAGCCTCTTGGAAGTATTGAAGCGTGATTGGGCGGTAGTCATGGTAATCAACGATAAAGTTCCGAGAAAATTCCGAGTAAGGTTGCGATCCTCCTGAAAAAGAAGAATTCGGGCTGTTTTGGCGGGAGAAGGTCCCACGAAAATAAGATGGATGGCTGTAGCTAAGATCTACAACTCTACCCTTGTCAATTTTTCGATACGTAGGTGGTCGTCCCCAAGCTCTGGTTGATTGTTTTGACTCGAAGTTAAGAGGGGGTTGATTGTGGAAGAGTGTATATAGATAGTAAAAACTTGCCCTCAGTTTGAAGCTTAGCACCTTTAGGTCTCGATAATTAGCGACCATGGGAAGCACGTATTCTTCCAGAATTTGAAGACCTTCCCGCGCATACCAAACGACCCGGTCAATCAGATCAACAATTTGAGTTTCTTGAACTCTACTTTCGACTCGTAAATTGTAGGCTTCATTCATCTGAGTGGACATGATTGTGAGAATGCCAAATACCTGGTAAAGTTTTTGCGCGAGCAGCGGATGCTTATTTTGAACGCAACAGGCAAATTGACCAAGAAATTTCTTATCAACTTCTAATATAGCCATTTGGGTTAGTCGCACGTATTCGGGCTTCATTACCGCTCTAATAGACGAATATACAGCAGACACGTCTATACTTGTCATGAATCTGCTTTCGTGTAGAATTCAAGCTTCGGATAACACAGTGTGAGTTAGGATTTATCAGATTTCGGAAGAAAAGGGTCACTATATAAGCTTGTAAGTTTTCTTACTCAGGATCGTTGTCCTCTAGAGCCTTGATATTAGCTATTGTTTGATACATTGTATCTTAGTCCGATGTGAATCGGCGTCATCTTGAAGATAAATTTGAAACACTTACGCTGACGATGATTTCAGAGACGGGTTACTGCCCCTCGTTCGCTTTTGGATCTAAGGGATCATAGCGTTTCTTCTATTGCACTTTTTGAATATGTCTTCAAAATTGATGAGGTCAATTAGAATGAGGTGAATAACGAAAACTAGATGCCAGTTCCAGAATGAATGTGTGGCCTAACAGTTTAAAAAGGAGATGCTAGTAAGCAATCAGATTCCCATAAACAGGATGACACTCCCATTGGCATTAAGCGTATGCTAAGCAAACATGGGAAATCTGAAGGAAATCTTCCTACACATGTGTCGTGAATTCATCAGCAGTGAGCAATTTCAGCGGTCGGTTTGCTTTTAGCCACAGCTGTTTCGTTGCCAGCTTGTTTTGCTTCGCGCGATGGGCCGAGCCGCTCAGAATGAGCACCATTTTGGACGGACGAAGGTATAACTGGCCCCTGACCCATATTAAAGCTTCGGCTAAAACTCTACATACTATGAACGATTGGTAACGCAATTTAGGTGGAGGTTTAAATCAACGCGTTTGTCCAGGGGTCGCTGCCAACGGACTTTCCGGTGTCGGGATGCCGGCCGAGGGGACACTTAAAGAAATATGTAAAAAGAGCGATCGAAAATTTGAAGGTAGTTTTCGGAGCACCACATCACTCGGTTAGAGAAATACGATCAAAGCAATTCAAGCTTTCTCCACTCTATTCAACCCTTATTGCCCCTATTCCTTTGCACCTCTGACGTACGAAAATACCCCAAGTCTAGCGCTGCGGCTGCATCGTAAGCGGGGAAGAAACCTGCAGGCGGAATTCTTATGGCGAGATACATAACCGCAATCCAGAATTACTAAAATATATCATTTTTCTGCAAGATAGAGCGCTAAGGTCACGAAAGTCGGTCGGTGGCATCCATGATGGCCTCAAGTTATGCGCCCCGTGGATCGCGTCAGAATATTTAATTAGATTGACGATAGATGGACTTTGTAAAATCTTCACCGACAAAACTATCTTTTGGTTGTCGGGCGGTTGTAAGCACCATACATGATGGTTATCGAGAGCCAGGACATAAACGCACTCGTGCTTTCACTGAGCGTCTAGGGAGAGTCAAGAGCTTGGCGATTGGGCTGAAGAGAAGAGGCGGTTAGTGTTACGAGAAGTTTCTCGGCTCGAATAAATACATTGGAGGTAGATCGAAAGATATAGGTCACGAGGTCTGGGGAACATAGGCGTTGTCTGCGTTAGCGCTGCCAAGCTAAAGGTAGCTAGCTTGACGTGCTGTTTACTAGGATTATTCATGCGTCGGACCTGGTCGAGCGAGCAGGAGCGCTTGCAAGCCAACGAGGGAGTTCTAAAGACCCGTCCGCAACCATTGGCGCGATGGTGACGCAGACAAACTCTCAAGTGAGTTGACTGTGACCGTAGCCTTTGCTTGACCGAACCGCTTAATTCCAACACGCAGGCGGCCTGCGCCGAAGATGCAGGCGAAATTCGTGGCCGACGCACTAGAAAAATGAAAAAGCGGGGAAAGATGAGGCTAACAACACCATTGTCAGCAGACAGTTGTGTAGCAGGAAAATCTTTGGAGCCCGACTAACATGGGACCAGTGATGATCGGCGGAAGTAAGGGCAAGAGAATGACTGTCTGGCTCCCTTTCCTAGTGACCGAGTTTTCCACAGTTTTTCGTCACATCAATCATGGACTGTATTTGCTCGAGTCTTGCGAGTTACACTAGATTTTCGGTCCAATAAGCGCCGCGAAATCATATGCAATTTTACCGAAAGTGGTCGAGTTTGGTCACGAAGACTCTTTTGATTCCAAAGGGTAGAAAGGATGGTATGACAACTCCACCTGAGACCAGAATCTCAAATTTGGGCTGGTCCTACGTTACGTTTGGGTTAAGTCTTTCTTTTAAATTTATAAAGAGATCAATGTGACGCTCATGTCTAGTCCTCTGTGTTCAAGATTTCCATCCGCCCACTATTGTCGACTATCTAGCCGGCAGCTCAGAAAGTATATCTCGAGTCCTCATAAAATCTCAAGCCCTTGTGCATTACCAATTGAAGCCTTAGTTGTGAATTGGGCCATTATAAGTTTAACTGATACCAACGGCAATCTGAATTTAACAGGTAACCTCCAGAAAGGACCGACGCCTAACTAGCCAACTCCAAGTCATCAACGGCACGGCATTTTGACGTATTACCGGCATGTGTAAATGGTACGCCTATCATCATTTGTGCGAACACAATTCTTATGTATTGGGGAAACTATGTCCCGATGCTAGCCGTGTGCAGACAGCGTGCAAAATGATGGAAATTTGGCAGACATTTGAAGTGGAAGAGGGTTGCGATGCTTGTTGCAAGGCAGCAGAAGAGAAACTCCGAAGGTTTGTCGGCAATGAAGAAAGTGTTCCACGTGGTAGGGCTTCACATCGACAATCCCGGAAAAAGTAGCGTCGACCCTACTAGTGAGAGAATGGGATAGCTCCAGATGAGGGAGTACACAGCCCAAATGTTTAATTAGTGTTTTATATCGCATCGTTGTCGGCAACACGAGAAAAGTGCTTTCAATTCATGCGAGTTTTTGATGAGCAAGCTCTTGAATAATCAGCTAAAGCTGCATCTCCTTATTTTTGCTTGGCGTCAAACTCGTGTCTCCGCGAATTTAGTGGCCCTCATGGTTTACTTGCCAAACTTTCGTCACCAAACTATGATAATCTGAGTGCACTGGGCGCTACTCTGAGTTTGAAGTTAAACTGTCACTGCGAAAAGATTCTATTCAGACTTGACTATCTTTATTCACGCTATCGAATACCCAAAAAGATGCACATTAAAGAAAATAATACTGGACCTACGACTTTGAAGATTTATAGAAAGCATTTGCATCGAAGGGTCATTATTAAGGCGACAACTATAACCTCAGCATAAGCTCAGGAAGACACACTTAATTTTAAAAATTGAGGCTAGATTCTCATGTCAAGACCTTGCTTGATTCTAGGACTACTATCTAGATTGACCACGAAGGTGAGCGCAGCCTTTATCCAATCTCAAAGGACGTTTCAAGACCACAGAGGTAGGAGGGATGGCCTCGCAGAGACAGGACATTTACATTTCTTCGTTTCACAGCAAGAGGAGGACTCATTTCTCAACTTTCTCTGTTATTATTCGTATTTTAAGTCACCTGAAAGGTATATGGCAGCAATCGATTGAGCTACTATTTTCTTAATTTATACACAAACGTACGCTGCTGCACTATATCTGATCCTTTTCCCGACATTCAAGTTTATCACGGTAGATATGAACAGCACTAACTTTATCCAAAAATATTAGAAACTCAAGTAGATAAAGAGAGAACTCGAACAAGAACAGTTGCCCAACAAAACTTATTTGCCTTCATTAATCCTTAGTCGATAGCTTTCCTTGCATCGAAGGATGGCAAATGATTTGATTGTGGCGAAATTCTCGGTTCCTCAACCTATCCAACGCCGAGGTCGCTTCAGATAGATAGTAGTGAAGAAAGAATTCCTATTCACACCTCTGAAAAAGGCCAGCCCCTTCTGTCATCCCTAGTACGGTATTAATTGACTCCCATGTAGGCCGTATGTGGGACCTGAACTTATTATTGTCTCTGTACCTCGTTAAGAATTTATCTACGCCGTACCTAGTTGCTCAACGGCGCTCAAGTTATTAGTCACTTTTAGAATCAGATTTGAGTGAAGTGGTTGATGGAAGTGGCAGTGATGCTTTAGGACGATATGATCATCAAAGTCCCTACCAGCGCCAGTCTATGCAAGGGACAGCTCATTGGTAGCGTAAGCTGCCATGAATACCATAGCTACGAATCTTTATCAGGAATTTCTGATCATGTAATAATCGGGCTGACTAGCGCTCAGCACTGACCAAAGATAACTAGTAAGAAGACGGCCCTTTTTGGTGCCATGTTGAGGAATTTCTGCTCAGTATTTATCCCTATCTTTAATTTCCCTTCAAGGACATGTGCTCTAACATCTATCTATTTGAGGGGTGTTAACCCGACCGTTACTACCGGTCATCCGTTTCAGCTGTCAAGAGATTATATCTTTAGATTTAATCGGGAAAAAATAATTTTGGCAAACATGATAGCCAAAGAAGTAATATTTCGTGCCATGCAACAAAAGTAGGCTAAACCCCCGAGGACTGGCCTGTTTTAGTTTTTTGGTTGAATCTCAATCTCTTCCGTTCATTTTTACGGGTATGGTAGTAATTATTCAATTATTACCTATCCCCTAGTTTCTTACAGTGTACTAAGAAATTCGAAAGATGCGAGACATTTTGCTCTAAAGGCACGTAGAGTAGCTGAATATAGCGTAGCTTCGGGGCTAAAATCTCGAAATATTTGCATCAGTATCAGTAGTAGATGGTGGTGCAATTTCTGGTACCATGATACTGAGATAAAATGGAGACCAAGGCTTGTGAACCCTCAATATCGACTTTGAGCTCAAGATTTTGAGGAGTCACCAGCTCCGTTAGACCAGGAGTAAAACCCATAATATCTGTATCACTCACCTATCTTTTCGTGATTCATGTAGATTAAAACTATGAAAAATATTTTTAAGATTATTGTCAGAATAATATACTAAGCTGGTAAGTAACTCACTTACCAGCTACATCACGAACACCTTGGCGTATTAAGTAGTTTTCTGCTAGAAAATACTGGCCTTCGTAACAGAAATGGACTGGTATTAGCTCGATTTAGGATGTAAAATGGGC